ACCACACCCAGCTAATTTTTTGTATTTTTAGTAGAGATGGGGTTTCACCATGTTAGCCAGGATGGTCTTGATCTCCTGACCTCGTTATCCACCTGCCTCTGCCTCGCAAAGTGCTGGGATTACAGGTGTTTGAGCCACCACGTCTGGCCCGGAATTTAAGAATATACTTTTATTCAACGACGAATTTGTTTTTAGTTTTTTGAGAAGAGTCTGGCTCTCACCCAGGCTGGAATGCAGTGGCGCAATTTCATCTCACCGCAACCTCCACCTTCTGGGTTTGAGCGATTCTTGTGCCTCAACCTCCCAAGTAGCTAGGACTATAGGTGTATGCCACCACACCTGGCTAATTTTTCATATGTTTAGTAGATGGGTTTCACTATGATGGCCAGGCTGGTCTCGAACTCCTGACTGCAGGTGATCCACTCGCTTCCGCCTTCCAAAGTGCTGGGATCAAAGGCGTGAGCCACCTTGCCCGGCCAGAGTTTTTTAATCTAAGTACTTCCATGAAATAAATCCCAAATGTGACATTTAGGTTTCTCCAGTACAATTTATTATTATTATTATTACATTTTACCTTGCATTTACTAAGTGTCATGGAAATATTATACTCAAAGTAACAGAGTTCCAGAGAAAGACCATTAATTAAGAAAGAACAGTTTCACTTTCTTAGCATGTCAACTTCTAGTTAGCCTGCTTGTCTCTGCACCACAGATGCTTGTCTTCTTGTGGTTGTTACCGTATAATTGTCAAGCCAAAGCTTGAATTTACATGTGGCATCAGGCCAAGTCTATGAATCCATGAAGACAGGCCATCAACTGCACTGAGGGTACAGCCTGCTGAAGGGTCCTTTCTTGACAGTCAATGATGATGAATCTGGAAAAACTGTCTATTCTCTTAGGAGAAGAAAATATACCCCACCTAAAGTCGTAGCTACCATTAACAAAAAAAAAAAATTAGCAAAGGGAAAGAATCAATGATAAGGACAGTAAATATACTCTGAGAATAGAGTAAGTACAATTTACACACGCTGGAGTAAATAGTGAAGCTTCTGAGTCTAAGCTCATTTTTAAAATTCTGATAAAAATTTACTCAATTACATTTTATACAGTAATATTTAGTGAATTTGTCCAAAAAGGCTATGTTTTAATTTATGTGTAAAAATAACAAAGGATTTATCAGTCTCTGGGCAATAAGAAAGGAAGAAAGCCTTGCTAGAAATAATAATCTCACACAAAAGGCCAGCTGACATAAGAATACTATAATAATCAATATATTTTCTTTGTATTTACAATAAAATCTATCTGTTAATACTGTGATAGAAAAAATAATCAGTCCACGTCATGTAGTAAAAACAGGCTTTTGAGGATGATTATACCTCTCATAATAAAAACATACAAGGATTTCTCATAGCTAAAGGACTTTTCAACATAATGAGTCATGGGTGAAGGTAAAACTGACAGAACACTTTAGATCAGCTATGTCCTACAATCAAGGAATCAAGGGCATTACCCATTTACCAAGCAGCAAAAAGCACTTTCATTTTTCTAGAGCTATTTAAATATAGTAGTTGCCATGTGATCAGTTAATTTTACTTTGTGAGTTAGAAAAAGTAAAGACTAAATTGGGAAACTGCAATAAGTAATCAAAGGTAGCTCCAAACAAAAAAGCCTTCAATAGAAACAAAAGGCATTTTTCTAGGTGTATTATGCATAAAAAGAATAATTACATAATATTATTAAATGTATTCTTTAATAACCAGATTAATAAATGAGGTAAAATTTAGTCATTGGAACAAATAAACTATATTTAATCACTTGTTTTGCTGTCATTGTTTAAAATAATTAACTTAATGTCTAAAAACTACAAACTCTTGAGTGTTTGCTTTTTAGAGCCCCTTTTGAGATATTAAAGAGACATAACAAATTATCTTAATATAAATTATCAATACCACGGCCAAGCGCAGTGGCTCAAGCCTGTAATCCCAGCACTTTGGGAGATGGAAGTGGGCAGACAGCCTGAGGTCAGGAGTTCAAGATCAGCCTGGCCAACATGGTGAAACCCCATCTCTACTAAAAACACAAAAATTAGCTAGGCATGGTGGCACACACCTGTAATCGCAGTTACTCAGGAAGCTGGGCCAGGAGAATCGCTTGAACCCAGGAGGCGGAATTTGCAGTGAGCTGAGATCATGCCACTGCAGTCCAGCCTGGGCAACAGCAAGACTCCATCTCAAAAAAAAAAAAAAGAAAAAAATTAACAATATCAAATATGATACAGTTATATAATACCAATTTTGTACATGCGTAGTGGAAATACTGTAAAAACTACAAGATAAAAGAAAACAGACTGGCCAGAACTTTAAATTTCAGACTAATCCATGATAAAAATCTAGAAGATAAAAAACAAAAATGAAATTAACAAAATAGACAACTTGATATCCTTTCTATATTCAGTCGTCTACTAACATGCAATTTCCAAACAAATCCATTACCTCAAAAGAGGAAGAAAATGTAAATCTCTTTTTAAGTTTTCCAGTTTATGCTCTGAAAAAAGCCTAACATTAACAAAACTTGCAACACTACTTTTAAAAATCTAGAATTTAAGAATATCTATTTTAGTTATTAAAGAGAAAAAATATTCAATTAAATCAAATGAATTAGCTGGATCAACAATTTCCTACCACACTACTATTATCTATAGCTACCCTTGGTATAATACTTTATGTCTAAGATGTCTACCTTAATACCATAATACTTTATGTCTAAGATGTCTACCTTATTGATAGCACTTTTCACAGTATACCAATTTCCATTTTTACTTTCTTCTCCCCTTGTCGCTTAAATGTATTACTTTAATTATCTGACAGGAAATTTTATTTTACAAATTTCTTGTTTAATTACTGAAGAGGTGATTTTAAAACATAAATGGATGCACCTGTTAATCCTGAGATGGTGATGACAGCAAAACTAAAAATCAGATGATTATTTTTACTCAAATTTCTGCTTTAGTTTTTTTTGGAAGATGGCTGGCAGAATAGAAAGCACAGCCAAGATCATCAGAATAAATATTGAGTTCCAGGAAACAGCTTCTCCTGCTGTTGTAAGTTGATACAGTGTTGTTCCTGCCTTAATGGCTACAAAAGAAGGAGGTGCAACACCTGAAATAAAAAATAAAAAGATACAGTAAAAATCACCGTTTTTAAAAAATTAAAATTTTCTGTGCGCATGAAGTTTCTTAAAAGAATAGAGCTATTTTCATTTTGGGAAAAAAAATTAAGAATTTAAAGCTCAAGTTTATTTTCATATAAAGAATTCAATCTTTCCTAATCACCTCTTAAAGATAATGATCTTTTTTTATTTTTTATTATTTTGAGACGGAGTTTCCCTCTTGTTGTCCAGGCTGGAGTGTAACGGTGCAATCTTGGCTCACTGCAACCTCTGCCTCCTAGGTTCAAACGATTGTCCTGCCTCAGCCTCCTGAGTAGCTGGGATTAGGGGCATGTGCCACCACACCCAGCTAATTTTGTATTTTTAGTAGAGATGGGGTTTCTCCATGTTGGTCACACTGGTCTTGAACTCCCGACCTCAGATGATCCGCCCACCTCAGCCTCCCAAAGTGCTGGGATTACAGGCATGAGTCCCCATGCCCAGCCAGGATAATGAATTTTAAAAACCCAAGATAAGTGCCCAGAGAATAATTTTACATTTATCAAAAATGCTTCCCCCCTACCCCCCCAAGAGTTTGACTCTATCCACTCATTGCAGCCTCAGTCTCCCCAGGCTCGGGTGATCTTCCCACTTCAGCTTTCTGAGCAACTGGGACTACAGGCATGTACCACCACACCCAGCCACTTTTTGTAATTTTTGTCAAGAGAGGGGGGTTTGCCATATTGCCCAGGCTGGTCTCTATAACTCCCAGGCTCAGGCAATTCGCCTACCTCAGCCTCCCCAAGTGCTGGGATTACAGGCATGAGCCGCCACACCCAGACTATCAAAAACCTTAAAAGAAAAAAAAAGGCCTGGCACAGCGGCTCGTGCATGTAATTCCAGCACTTTGGGAGGCCAAGGCAGGCAGATCACTAGAGGTCAGGAGTTTGAGACCAGCCTGGCCAACATGGTGAAACTCCATCTCTACTAAAAATAAAAAAATTAGCTGGGTATGGTGGCGCACACCTGTAATCCCAGCTACCTGGGAGGCTGAGGCAGAAGAATCACTTGAACCCAGGAGGCAGAGGTTGCAGTGAACTGAGATCACGCCACTGAACTCCAGCCTGGGTGACAGAGAGAGAAAATCTGTCAAAAGAGAGGAAAGGAGAGGAGAGGAGAGGAGAGGAGAGGAGAGGGGAGGGGAG